CCATTTGGGTGATTGAACAAATTTGATTCCTTTTTACTTGCGATTTAAATTTCGTTCTAAACTGATTGAAGAGTTCTAAGGTTCAAGCAAGGGTTTTGGGGTTCCGCATCAAATAATCTTCGCATAGTACGGTAGATCTTCCAAATCGATACGTGACCTTTTTAATTTTTCTTTTTCTGCTGATAGAAGAATAAGAAAAATAAAACTCTGTGTGTGATTTGGGGACCATAACTGTCTTTTTATATCGTCAACTTTTATCATTTCTCATTTTACTCATCATAAAATGAGAAATTACAAATATAATATTTACACATATTATAAGTTCATACTTAAACTCGATGTATTAAGATTCATAACCGTTTAATCATAATTGATCACTTTTAAATGAAATTAAAATAGAGTCAATGTATTAATTATAAGCACATGTATGGCTTTAAATGTCAAGGATTCGCATTTATGACCATGTAGAAATAATCCTTAGGCAAGAATTTGCTATGTTATGATGAAACACAAAAGTAAATGATAATCATTGAAAAAGTTAGTTTATGCTTCCCTCAATTAGTATCCTGTCATGATCAACTTTATTTTGTCCTTTCAAGGCTAACTTCTCTACAAGGATCGAGATCCCTATTGAAAGGGAACAATTGGCATTCACAAAAAAAAAGAAGAAAAGAACCCTATCTTTGAATATGGATTTAACAATTTGCTAAAGATAAATACAAGTGATTCATCAAATTCTTGCTTATTATTACATAAATTTCATTTTTATGGCAATTGTTGTTTTCATTCTTATAACAATAACGGAAAGTTCGAAGCATTCAATTAAAAAATTCACGATGCAACTAACTACAAAACAACAAAATATAAAATATACTTAAAAAAGTATGGTAGGTACATCATCTTCTAAATGCATCAATCTCTCTTTTAATACTTTTTTTAATCACCTAACCGGTCTGTGATAATACTCAATACACCTAGCTATTGTGCGAATAAGCTTCAATTGTGAATTAACTTTTGCTTAATTTTATATTCAAATATTTTAAATGCACAAAAATTAATTAAATTGCATATGAATTATATAGCCATCTAGAGGTCTGCTTTGAGTGTGTTATTAGTCTCCAATTTATTTGTGTGATAATCGTCAATGTTTTACATATGCAAATCTGGATCTAAAATATTATCTTTGTTACCAAGAAAATGTAGTTTAAGATTAATTTGGATTTAGAAGTTTCGTGGACGTTATTGAAATTTAGATGTTCATGTTTTGTATTATGTTATGGGTGTCATATATGATTTTGCCACTAGTTTCATACTTGATCTTATGTACCTATATTCCAGCTTCTGTTTTCCTCATTTTAAGATTTGACAATTTACAAACCATGACAAGAGTCCACGTCATACCATGCAACTACAATATGTAACACCACGTAAATAGTGTATTGGATTCATGAATTGAACCTAGGAGAAAGAAGGTTTGTAACATACCATAACATGTTGTTCAATTAAGAACCTCGATGTTGTGTGTATGTATATGTTTACATGTATATATGTGTATGTATATGTTTACATGTATATATGTATATGTATATATATATATATATATAATAATAATAAATAGATATGTATATCAAGGGAATAAAGTGAAATTTAAAAACGAGAGAACTATATGGACGGATTTTTCAAGCGTAGGACAAAATATTAGAAAATATTTTTAAGTCATATAGTGGCTCATTTGTAAAATAAAATTTTAACTATACAAAAATAATTAAAATATATGAAAAAAATTAATTAAAATTGGAGCCAAAATTTGATTTTAGTGTATGATCATTGAAGCTACTGAAAAACATATCACTTAAAGCGAATTTTTAAAATAAATAAACTATTATGAAGAAAGTTAAAAAAAAAAAAAAATCCAAAGATTTACAGATTAATTTTTGTAAAAATAAGTGCTAATATTAATTTTCTAGCAGTTTTGGTTATATAAAAATAAAATATTATAATAATTATGAACTAATTTAGAACTAAATACAAAATTAACAATCTAGTGTTCTTTTAAGATAACATTATAATGCTTACATATAAAAATCACATCTTTCTTCCACCTAATTTATTGTACCGATGTATTATATATACTTCTGGAAAGAAATTCAACATTGGGTGTGTGAAAAAACTAGTATATATATATATATAATATCATGACTATGATAGAGTCCCAAGAGAAGAAGATCCCAATTGTTGAAAAGAAGAGTTGTGTACAAAACCCAGTAGTTGATTGCATTATATATATATATATATAGTTTAATGATGAAGGTCTGATGATAGACACTGCATCTTTACAGTGATGTAGTCTTAAAGGCCCCTAGAGCTTCCAATGTAGTATGGTGGCCACATCTTTAACCTAACAAAACACAGAGAAAAAGAACATGACAAATGGAGCAGTGAATATAGAAACTTAGGAAGGGAGGCACAGCCTGTCCTCCGTATTCATTAATTATATATGGTAAGATTATATAGGTGAAGAAGGCAAATGCAAGCTAATAAATAATATTACATATAATTATATAGGTGAAGCAAGCTGATGACAGGTGTAGTCTCATACGGAGAGAGGAGGAGAGAGGCCAAACTCCAGACCCCAAAGCTCAAAACTGCCCTTCACAAAGTCATAGTATCCTCCCTTTAATGCCAGTGTCTTCTTTACCAATCCATCTCTTACAAATGGGTAAGTTAACAGATTCCCTAATGACACATTAACTGCTTCCTGCATTATTTTTTTTAATTTTTTTTCCAATATTAATTAGTGAATAATCACAATTAATTACTTAATTAATTTTAATTAGATAGAGAAATACAGTGGTTTATACCTTTTCACAAGTTGTACATTGATCTGGGAAGGCTGCGCTGCCATTTTCAGCCAGCACTTTGGTCTTGGCAGGTAGACCGATCTTCACCCAGTCTTCTATGAAATCACTGCGTATACATATAAAGAGAAATGTAAATTATAAAATATTTATAAGTTAATGTGTATGTATGTATGTATATGTATATATATATATATATGTATGTATATGGACGTACGTAGAGTAGGTTCCATCATAAGTGAAGGACATGAGGCCTTTGATACCACCACAAGCAATGTGGCCTATCACCACTATGTTTTCCACCTTGAGATGGAGAAATGCATATTCAACTGATGCTCCAAATCCAGAGTATCTAGTCTGCACCATTATATCCATTAATTTTCATTTTCATTTTTATTTATAATTAAAGATTAATCATTTTCAATTTTTAATTATATATATACATATGTATAGGTATATATATGTATAGATGGAAAATGAAATGACCTGATCATATGGAGGGACCATGTTGGCTACATTTCGGACCACAAACGCCTCTCCTGGTTGGAAATCCAGCACATGAGATGGGCATACTCTCGAGTCTGAGCATGCAAATACCATGAACTGCACAAAACCTTTTATACTATTACCTAATTATTCATAATATATATATATATACATAAAAATAAACCCAAAAATTAGGACATGCTAATTTTTTGTATTTTTTAAATTATATTTTGTATAATATTATAATATATATATATATAACAGTTATTTATATAACCTTTTGATGGTTTTTTTTCCTCACACTTGTCACATATTTTTTTATTAAAAATTCTTTTACTTCTATATAATTTTATTTACATAAAATAAAAATTATTTATTATTTATATAATTATAAAAATTTATATTCTATAGTTAACATATAGGGTGCAAATCTATTATATATATTTAATCATGTATATATATATATGAAAAGGGTATGGTAAATATAGACATAGTAATTAATCATATATGTGTGTGTGTGTGTGTATACACATATATACCTTGGGGCTTTGGCCTTTAGCAAGCTCACTGTATAAAGCTGGATTCTTGCTGCAATATATATTTATAAAGGTCAGGCAGTGATATAATATGTCCATCTATCCATCCATCAGATAAATGCATATTATATGTATATGTATATGTATATATTATAGGAATGAATAAAAACTAACTCATATTTTTCCTTCTTGAAGTAAATGAAGCCTTCTTTCATTCTGTCAACTGGATTGAATGGTTTGGTGTCGGAGGAGGATGTCTGTAACTCAGCTGTTATTTGCTCCACTTTTGCTGCTGCTACAGTTTTCAGCTCTTCCTTCTCACTGCAACCAAACCAAATTGTAATTACTACTCCAACTTATATATATATATATATATATATATGTATGTATTAAATTTAAGTGACAAAAATATTTTGAAATCTTTTAAAAATTAGTCGGGTATGTAAAATCCAGAAATGATTAAAAGTTGGATATGTGAAATAAGAAGAAATATTGATGTACATGAGGAGTTTCTTGAGAGCTTCGATGGCCTCGTCATATGCTTCCTTTCCCATATCTTCTCTCTGCACCAAAACAAATTAATTGACATATATTGAACTAGTATACTTATCGTCTCATTGGTTTTATATATACATATATAGGGTGTCTAAATCAAATATAACGGAAACAAAAAATAACTTCATATTTTGGAGTAAATCTAAAAATATTGATAAGAGTTAATGTAATTAAATTATGATGAAAATATTTCTTGAAATAATGAAATTTACATAAAATTTAAAATGTATTTATTATCATTTACGCGATTTAAATAAATAAAATTTCATATCAAATGCAATCTTTTTTTTTTTTTTTATAAAAACTAAGCACTTATTAATTGGTGACCCTAGGTGGGTACACCTGTCACTACTTGAAGTAATAAATAGATAGCAGACCCTTTTAATCCACCATACATTTGTGTGGTTATATCTCCTTTAAAAAGATAGATATATATATATATATATATACATATTGTGTGGTGATACACAAACTATATTATTATAAAAATATCCTTATGCCATCTACCCACAACGTAACTAATAATTTTTACTCAAAGAAATATTCATTTACTGAAATTTTAAAAGAGAAATAACATGCTAAAGCACATTAACTCACAAATGAATCAAATGTATTGTTTCTTGTTTAAAGGAGTAAAAATTACTTTTCAAAAATCCCAAATTAAATGTGTACGTATATATATATACATAAAAGAGAAATATTCCAATTATAAGCTACGTGGGCACTTGGATATGTGAATGACATTATATAGATAAATAAATTTACCAAACGAGAAGGGTTGATGATAGGAGCAGGGACAGCAAAAACAGGATCGTTCCGAATAAGGCTAGGAAGAGAAGGCGAAGAAGAAGAAGAGGGCGCAAGGCGAGCAAAGAAGGTGGGGCGGTGTGAGCGGAGAGAAGATTGAGAAGGGGAAAGAGGGGTTAAGCACCAGCCGTTAATGGAAGCGGTCGACATTGTGCAAACTACCCTTCTATTGCCTGGCTTTATAGCTTAAACAACCCACCACCTATTCATATATTTCTTTTCACAATACATATGCTCACCAGGATAATGAAAGCGAAAGCTCCTTCAATATCAGCTTCTATTCACCCCTTCCCTTCACCAACTTATCCTTTTGCATTTTTAAATAGAATAATCCAATTACCTAATGTTAATTAATTAAACCATATACTTACTTAAACTTTAAGGCCATGCCCGTGTATACATACACTTTAAATGTCTCTTCACCGCCCTCCCATTCTTTATATTTGAACTAAGAATCTTTTTTTCTCCCATTAAATATAAGTATATTAATCATATATATAATAGTAATCCAACGAATATTGACAAAAATTATAGTGATCTAATTTTTTTCACCGACCGAAAAGAAAAATAGAGACTAATAAAATGGAAGGAAAGAAACTTGATAATAAATGATGAAGAACACGTGGCTTGATTTTGGAAAATAATGTTGAAAAAACTATTAGTGTTGGAGAATGAAATGGATGGTGGAAAAGAGAGGGAGGCATGCATGGTGGGCGAAGGGCTTGTTGTGATAAGGCCCTATCCCTAAAACATGGCCATGCTCTTACCTTTTATCTCTTTTGTCTCCTATATCACCTCCTCTGGTTTTAACTCCCACTACTCACAGTCTCAGGCTCACCTTTTAATTTGCTTATACAGATATGCATTCTAATGGTTTCAATTCATATACGAGCTTCTGGATCATATTGTTCGTACTCATTACTACTACAATGCACATCATTACCTTTAATATTAATATCTCTGAAAAATTCTTCTTTAAAAAAAAAAAAAAAAAAAAAGTAAGATAATGTAAGCCACTGCTTGTAATCCACACATTGAAGATTTTTTCTTAAGTGAAAGAGAAAAAGCAAATGAAATGCGGGATACCTCCTCCAACCCTCACCCATGTTATGGACCTTAGTTCGCCATAATGCTACAAAAATCAGTAAAATGGCAATTCTTCCTCCTAAAATATGGGTCAGAATTTTATACTTCAAAGAAAAGAGTAAGAATAAGATAATGAAATATAAGACAATCATGGAGCTCATAACTAATCCAAATAAGCAAACAAAACTAAGTAACAAAACGTATTAGAATCTAAAGATTAGTAAACTACCCCAAGTATGAGAACGTACGGCAAATATCACACCACCACTCTCCATGCAGCGACCTTTCTTTTGCCATTTTCAATAAAACTGAAAGCCAAAAACAAATTAATTTGATGATATAATGGAACTGAACTGAACTTATATCAACTTTTAGCTCCTTTGAGTTTGAACTCAAGGAAATATGAAATGTTAATGCTTAACCAGGAACCTTGGATTTTATCATGCATTGCGTGAGCAATTTGCAGACAGAGAAACTACTATGTCGACATTTCTGTGTCATTTTATCAACATATCTGCCCACCAACACTTTGCCCAAGTGGCACAACTTAATTCTTTAAATTCACATATTATTTATTTTTTGTAGTTAACATATTCCAATATGGTAACTATTTCATTAATAACGTTACAAGAATTTCAAAGTCGCCATAAAATTTATTTATGCAGTAACATTCTAAGAAACCACTACTAATGAAAATGAAATAATGAATACATTTGTTCCTTGGGTTTACCTGACAGGCACAACACTGAAGTTGATATGATAATACCTGCATATCCAAATACAGAGTATCTGCAATGTAGATGTTAACTGCCGCCAGTACATGTATGGTAACTTCTTGGTCAAACAATTTTCTTAAAGAGGAAGTGGATTTTTACCTCTCTTTTGAAAACATTTCATGTGTTACGCATGTTAGCAGTCCACCTTAGTTCATCAAATTACACTTTTTTACATGCAAGAGTACTTTGTCCTGTCATCTTCAGATTTGATTCATCACGCTAACACCAATATTTTTGAGTTATCCCACACTACAGACAAGAGCAAAAGTTGATATTTCATGTTGATTAAATGGGCTATGTTCACATATCTGTGAATTTCTGTAATACATGAACTCCTAATTTTAAATTTTACCTCGAATAAAGGAGAACATTGGATATCATAATGGCAAATCACCCATCATGACATTTGCCTACGCACAGATAGGCAAATAATGTCAAAAAAATTTGCGTATGTGAAGAAACCAAAAATCAGGAAATCAATAAAATCAAAGCATTTTTGCATATGTTGTCGAGAAACCAAAAATGACTCACATTTCTATTAATGGAAAGGTCAAGTACTGTGGAAGAAGAAAGAAAACCTAAAAATGTACACATAAGACATTTTGCCTAGGCAGAGGCCGGCCTAAGTGCTATCAGTTTACTATTTGCATTCCATGATTCCATCAGTTACTATTTTTAACTTCACAGTTCATATCCTCAGCCTGTTATGTTTTTTTCTCTACGCTAAGACAAATGAATAACACATCCAAGATGCCGGGTGTGTTTCTTTCTTGTTAACCTTCAACTATATGCCAGACACGAAACAAATTTCTTCTCACAAAGAACAACAGAATGACCGATCTGTGAATGGGCATTCAACAAAAGTACCAAATTCCAACAAAACCACTCTTGGTCCTTCACAAGGTAAAACTTTACTGATCAGCTCTTAATTCAATGCTAAATGAATTCAGGCCAGGTGAAACACATTGCAATCATGAAAGCTAAATATATATTCGTCACTGTTTATTTGGATTCATCATTCTAGTACACGAGCGGATCTCATTTACACAAAAGAATTGATGAAACAGTTTCAGGTCCCAACAAAGGTATACCTTTAAGATATAGGATTGATGCTATAATGACTTTTAGCATTGACAAAGTATTTCAAAAAGTTTTAGCTGTGAACGAACGTATCAACAGTCATCATGTCACTGTACTCTTGCAGATTACTTGGGGCATAGTCTGATGGGACAGACAGAGAACGCAATGCACCGAGCAGCCTTTGCCAACGTAAAGCGTTCATTTTCTGTTAATGGTCTCTCTATCACCTTTATAATATTTGCATCCTAAAACATTAAGTCAAACAACAATCAGAGAGCACCAAAATGCTTTAAAACAAAATAATCTTTTGGGTAATTGAAGTAACCTATCTGCATCATTTTAAAAGTGTCCTTTATCCTGTTGAAGTTTCATTTTTGCAATCAAACTCTAGGTTTATATGTTTTATCCATAGCTTAGTTATTTATCCTTTGAAATGTAATCTTAGTTTGTTTGTGTTTAAGCAAGGTACATTTTCCCTATTTTGGGTGTAATAACTATCATACACAGGAACTTAAGCTTTTTATGTTACTTCATGGAAGAATCGTTAGACTATTGCATTCTTTTTCCCTTCTTTTCTTTGTCGAAACCAACAAATAATACCAGAGCTTCTATTGCTCTTAGAGGGGGCTGAGAAAGAGAACTAGGAGGAGATGGCTAAGAAGTTCAAAGCTCTCTCCTTCATTTACTCGGCTACTTCTGATACAATCTTTATAAGGGTTGGTGTCAGATAGGATCAAGGAGGAACTTCAAGGGAGTGAAAAACAAAGCAAAGGTAAGTGTTCGATCTAACAAGAGAGTTTGATTTTCTTATGATGAGTAACTTGGAAAATGTGGCGTTCATTGGTACAGTAACACAAGGTGGTGAAACAAGTTAGGATGCTAGGAGAGGAAATAGTGAAAAGAAGATAGAAGAAAAAGTTTGTGTTAGTCTTCCAGAAAGGTTTGAAGCAAAAATCTTTACTCTGAAGGACTCAAAAGACTTCTTACAACTATCCTTGGCAAAGTTGGTGGAACAATCTCTAAAGTAATTAAACCAAAAAGGACCGACAAACTAAATAAACTACTGAATGTGCTTTTGTAATGAAAAGACTTGAGGAAGCAATGCAGGACATGTTACAAAAGTGATCCAAGAGAGCACTAGCTGATCAAAATGCTCAAGTTGTAGCGAATGAGAAATTGCATGAGGGGAGCCTCTTTGTAACCAAATATTACTGAATCAGCTGAAGCATCTAGGCAAAAATCTGCACAGATGGTGGCGGCTAAGGTTGTGCATCTAGACAAACTGTGTACTGAGACCGACCAAAGCTAGGTTGTGTGCATCTGCACGTCTAAGGGTGACTGCAGCTGGCTGTGGTTGAGGAGCTGGATCCGGTTATGAAGGCCGGTCTTGGTAGAGATGACCGACTATGATGTCGGCTTGTGGTAGAGATGGTCAGTCTGGGGTGGCTGGCAACTGGACTATGATGGCCAACTGTGAAGGCTAACCTTTTAAACTTTATCTTATTTTGGCAATAAAAGTCGAATAAGGCTTGTAAAGTATTTTATTGAATATTAAAACCTTATATACAGATGTTTTCTAGGATGGTAAATGAAATATATTGTTAATTACAATTAATTACATATAGTGTAATTTACTTTTATACCATTTAATCTAATTTACCATTTCTTTAACAGGAAGAAATACAAACCATCATATTCAATTATGGCATAAAAAACGCAAATGCAAGGTTTGGAAAGTTTCGTGGAAATGCAAGGATACATCACCAAAAACCTGTTAGTTATATGTGTTTTTGCTCCAAAAGGCATTATATGGATTGAATCAGGTTACAAGAGCTTAGATGTGAGAACTGATGACCATTTGCTGCAATTGGGTTTTAGTAGAAGCTCTAGTGAGGATACTCTATGTGCAGCCAGAGGACAGTGATGTTTTACTTGTTTACTCTATGTGGATGATCTTCTTGTAACTGAAAGCAAGAAGAATATGGCAAAGAAGTTCAAGACTGAAATCAAATGTTTTTTTTCTGACATAGGTGTTGAAATTAAGTGTATTTGAAATGACAAACTTGAGGAAAATGTCCTATTTCTTTGGGATGGAGGTGCATCACTCTAATAAATAAATTTTTTTATCAACCAAGAGAAGTATGCTGAAGATGTAGTAAAAAACTTACAAAAGCGAAATTGCAACTATACACCCCTTGCTCCAAACGCGAAGATAAGCAAAGAAGATGACAGGAAGAAAATTGAAGCTGGAGTACATATTAGTCTGGTAGGCTTTATTGTCAGCCACAAGATCTAAAACTATGTATGTTATAAGCTTGCTTTCCAGATTCATGCAGGCTGCCAGCAAATTGAACTTCAAAGCAGGCAAGAGACCATTGAGGTACATAAAAGGAAAAAGTGATTTGGCATCCGGTTCATAAGGTGATATGCTAAGAAGTTGTTTGGTTTTACAGTAATTGGACTGGATCAGTGAATGACATGAAGATCTGGATATACTTTTCACATTGTCTCAAGTGTGTTAAGCTAAAATTCAAGGAAGCTGAAAACTGTTTTTCAATCAACAAAAGCATATCACAGTTTTGTTGCGTTTGTCATGAAGCAGACTATTCTGCTTAGGAAAAACTGCTTGCTAATTTGAATCAAGAGCAAACAATGGAAACAACCATTTTCTAACAATCAAATCTGCAGGTATAATTGCCAAGAATCTAGTTTTTCATGACAAGACAGAAAACATTAAGATAAATTATCATTTTGTGAGAGAAGCTGGGAAGGAAGAAGAGGTCGTTGAACATTCTGAAGAACAAATGGTAGACATCTTCCAAGTCACTGCCAGAAAACGAGATCTGAAAGACCAAGAAGCATGCTTGGCGTTTCCAGAAAAAATGACAAAGAGAAGATTTGAAGTTGGACAGTTTTCTGTCAAATTCAATATTGTGCATTTTATCCATAGCTTGGTTAGTCATTTGTTAACTACTTGTCAAATGCTTGCATGGTGTGAGCCATATTAGGCAAGGTCAGTGGAATATTAGTTGTTTATGCCTTTAAGCTATGTATATTTGTCCTCTTTTTAGCTTAATGGCTGTCATGCACAGACACTAAAGGTTTCTATGTACTTAAAACCACATTTAAATGGAAAATCAGTAGACTTTTGCATCCATTTTTTCTTTGCTTCTTTGCCTGCAAATAAAAATATATCTTTCTCCTCTTTTACCTATTTAAGGTTTCGGGCAGGTTTCTGGACAAACACACTAACCTTCTTTTGTTGTTGAATAGAAGGCCTCACACTGGCTGTATCACCAACAACAATTACATTATTTACGTTCCCCCTTTCATCTCTTTCTGTCGGTGAAGATGTTGAATGTCGCCATTGCCCATTAATGATATACTTATAGGAGTACCTAAAAGCAGGGACATAGGTTTTAGAAATTAAATCACACAAGACAAAATCTTCCAGAAGTCAAACTTGCAGGGTCAGAATTTCCAAATACTGCACATAACAAGAGTATATGACAGTAGCCAAACATCTATCAAAATTGAACTAGCCCAACAACAGCTCACATGTTCAACAATGCAGCAGATGAAGAATCTTAAAATAATTGAAAAAGTGAAGAATTCATGACTTACTTCCCTTGTGGTAATCTAACCTCAGTTTCACATCTTGGTCCAAGCTTGTGAGTTGCCTTAATTGGTTCTTTCCAATTTCCAGTAAAATCTCCGACCAAGCATACATCCTCCCCCTGTTATAAAAATATGTTTTAAAAAAAAGAACGATCCCTAAATAAGTGTTAGAAATTAATTGTTATTAATAGTTAAAGTTAGAACAGACTCGTTAAAGCCTACATGTTTTGAAAACCTTATGGAAGTAGCCTAGAGCAATAGTGCACCATCTGAAGACATTGCTACCCATTCTTTAAAGTGATAAGAGATCAGTTGCAACACTAAGATCAAGTTACAAAAATAAAATCAATGACTACCTCATGCCCATTCCATATAAAGGTCACAGCATGAGTTGCTGGTCCGTCATGTTTGCCATTTTCTACCATAGCTATAAGATCCCAGGTTGCCCAAGCAATTGCTGCTCTGTATCAAGATAAATATTGGACTTTTCAGCCAACTCGTGTAAATTAATAAATGTACAAAATTATACTTCAATGCATGAAAATAAAAACTTTCATCACTTTCTCTATTTTTCTTTCCTCTTTTCTACTAAATGTTTTCCGGTTGTGAATAACATTATTGTACAGAATTTGACTCAAAAATAGTTTCAAATGCATATTCAACTTCATTTCAGTGTTTGACAGTGATCTGACCATTAAAAGTAATCTTTCCTGACAACTAAATAACCTACTCAACTATCAAATGGAATACTACTGGAGGCTTCATGAATCATCAGACAATTAGTTCTCAGCTGAGCTACTAATTGGAATTTGACTGGACAGAAACTCATTAAAATGGTCTTTCCTTTTTCAAATTACATAGCCAGATTTCTTTCAAAAGGGATCTAGTTATCTAGAAGACAATTGGGCAACCACAATTATTGGGCCACCAACATATGGTCACATTGAAGAAACCAACATGACTCATGAGCCATTTCTGCTTCATTTTTGAAGAAGTGTCTTGGTTTAGCTGAGGCAAACAATATCGCCAAAATGTTAAGTACGCATAAGTAAGAATGCAGAGAAAATAATATACAAATAATAATCTTCTTGCTAATATTAAAAGAATAATAGATATGCATAAGCGTTTTAGAGTGAAAAACCTGTCAGGTTTGCAAGAATGCAATCCAACTACAAAATTATAAGCTGCGTGAAGGGAAGTATCAGTCATCCAGTGTAGATATGCAATCACACAAGCAGGAGATCGATCAAAACTGGTAGTACAGGTAATGAAAACACGATGGTTCCTTTTAAGCAAGCGCAACAAGAGCCCCACAGAGAATGGCAATTTCTTCCTCATATCAAACGAATCTGCATTCCTGCAAAAAGAACAGAGGCAACTTTTGTGTCATTTTGAGCTGCCATGCTTTAATTGATGATAAAAAATCAGTGTATTACATTTAAATTCCTAATATCTACCCACAAGAAATTATTATTAAGCAGGCAGCACATTTATGTCAGTATCAAGATCTCATTCACACAACTTTTTGTTTTTGGAATAACTCATCCAACACGACTAATCATAGCATTGAGGGAAGAAATACCTCACACAGCATGCATAGACAAATCTGAACAGAATCTTAGCATGAGGAATTATGTCATAAAGACACTGCATAATACTGTTCGCTGACCTATTACAATAGTTTTTTTCCTTTGAGAAAGTACCTTATAGGATAGTTAACCATTAAGATATTGAACTTTTGGCATGATTTGGTGATCATTTTGTAATTGATTCTCCAATTTTCTGCTTCAGTTGCACTTTGAAAATTGATTACAGCACTGATTCCCTGATGCAGAAATTGCCTAACCATCAAAGTGAGCAATGGAATTGGAGATAACAAGAGAATATACATACATACAAGCAGATTCTTAGCCAACATATTATGTCAACACTTTCTATCCTGCTTATATGTAGAAATCAGGATATCTAGATAAGAATCACTTCAGCAAGGCATTCACCACAAAAAATGAGAGGTTAGAGTTATCCACTGATGTGAATGCAACTCTGGAGCCTAGAATATTCAAGATATTTTGAGCTTGAAGCATTCTGATTCCAGCAAATTCTTATAAGTGAACCAACATCATGTTCTTGGTTATCTTTAGCTCTCTGGACTTTTATCAGATGTTCATGTAAACCACGAGCCTTGAAAGATCAACAAACAATCAACTTGTTGTTCTTGCGTTTTGTTTCAATAAGATTACATTTTTCTGTTTTTTTTTTTTTTTTTGAGATAAGACAAGATTACATTTTTCTATATTTGACGATTTATTACCACTTTTAATATTTTTCATTTGATTGATCAAGGCTAACAGGAAACTTGATATATTTCACTTTACTACCCAAAAAAAAACAGTTTAAGCAACCTCAAAACAGGAATAAACAAAATGGGGAAAAGGGAGTTCAATATTATGTGGTCTTTTATTGCCAATAGAAGCTTACTGTAATAAACAATTAAAAGAAGAACAGAACATTGTGGTTAATCACATATCTCTCAAAGCAGAGTTGCACAGGTACTCACAGCATCTGATAGAGTTTCTACATCAGCTTCTGTCTGTATGCATGACCCCACATATATTTGCTCTGTAATCTGGGAACACAAAATGAGTTTTGCTAAGAAAGAGGGAAAGAGAGAACGGAACGAGAATGCAATAAAAGCATCTTCCTCCTTTCTCTCTCCACCCCACTCCCTGACATCCTACCCCGTGAAAAGAAAAAGGAAAGATAAGTAAATTAATAAAATGGCTGAACATCACACCTTACTGTAGTGCATTCCAAGAGAATGATTATAGTATAGCTCGCCTTTTGAGCGTTCAAGAGCTTTTGTGTATTCCTCCAGAGGAAAGTTCCCATGACTCCATTCCCCACTGCCTGGCTCTTCTTCTGAAAAAATAGAAACAACTTGGGTAACAGATGGTGCTAGAATATTCTTCTGTGCCAACGGTTGAACGTGTACATTTTGATTATTTAGAAGCTTCCATCCATGCGGTGATTGAAACCTTGAGGAGAACATTACAAAACCAGAATTTCTACTGCCTTCTGGAAACTTTTCTAAATTTGATGCCAAGACAGATTTGTTCCAAGTGGCAATAGCTGCACGACCTCTATTATACAAATTATCAAGATCACTCGAAAGATGCAGTAGTTGAATTGGAAAGGGATAAAAAGGCCTTTCAAGAACAAGGCTATATGAACCTGTCTTCTCTGTCAGCATCTTCCTGGAGAAACCAAAAACTGAAAAAAATAAAAAATAAAAATTGATGAACAAAACAGACTTCAAATAGATGAGAGCTTTTCTTTTTCTTTTTTTTGGTGGATTTTAACACATTTGAATGGGAGCAGTTAGAATATACATAACAGAGACCAAGAAAGCACACTGATATTTCACTCTCTGTTCAGGTAAAAATTTATAATCAGCTACATGGAATGGCAGGAAAGAGTCTCAGATCATAAATATATTTCACATTCCAAAAATTTATTATTATATCAAGCCAAATGTCTCAATTTGAAGCAATAACAATTTTACTACAGTAAACTATTATCAAAATACTATCAACATCCACGACAATACTAATGCAGTATAAATTGCCGCAATATAGATGACTCTCTCATTAACAATTTGAATACTGCGATGCACTGCAGAAGTTTTACAGGAACAGAAGGAGCCACTAAGGTACAAAGAATCAAGAATATCAATTGTCTATAAGAGAAAAAGACGAAAAAAGCACACCATGGGGAGATGACATCTTAGTGGGGAAAGAGGATTCACCATGTAATAATAGCTAATTATCAAACACTCTACCATTCTCAATCGATCAGAGTTCATACATTACTAAATAAACCAAAATTCAAAGCTCTTGCCATATAGTTTTACTGATAAACTGCAGTCAGATAATTCTGATACAGAAACGAATATCTAAATCACTGGCACAAGATGAATCCATGGAAACAAATGCTTGAAAAACTATATGGCCATGATGTACGAAATCTAACAAAGCAAGACCATAATATAGTTGACAGTAGCTAAAAGATAGAAAGAGATAATTGTTCACTCTGCAAACAAAAAATTATAATCTAGCTACATGGAACAACAGGAGCAAGTCTCAGTTCTTAGTCATAGTCAACATTCCCTAGCTATGATCTAGCAAGCCAACTATTATTTGTCTCAATTTGAAGCAATAAGTTATTTTCTATAGCAAACTATTATCGAGATCCACCATCTCGGTGGCAACAATGAAAATGATGTGTATATTGTTGTAACATAAATGGCTACCTCATTAACAATGTAATCGCCAATGCTACACAGAAGTTTTGCGACTTTTGGATCAAAAGGAGCCAGTAAGGTATAATGTACTAGAGTATTAGTTACTCTATCTGAGCAAGAAACACGCAACAAGGAGGTGACATCCTAGTGTCAAGTACCAAGTGGATATCATCATAAAAGAATAGCTAATTATCAAACACTCACTTTACTGTTCTCTATCAATCAGAGTTCACATTTCTAAGTGAACCGGAACTAAAAGCCGTTGGTACTATATATTGCTTCAACTCATTTTACTAGAAGACTTCAGTCAAATAACTCTTAAACTGAAATCAATACATACATCACACGATGAATCCACCGCAACAGATGTTCCAAAACGAAACAGCCATGATATAAGAAAATATAAACATTTAAGTAGAAAATTTAAGCTAACAAGGATAAATCCCTTACTGCATATCACCAAGGTCCTTGATCTCAATAAGCCTGCCACCAGATGAATCACTCGCCTTCTTCAGTGTGTCCCCGACCATAATTATCCTCGATCTCTCCGCATTACTCTACACAACAAAATATCAATTGTACCATATAAAGACGATACGATTGCTTCGTTAACTTCCAAAACAACTTTTTCTTTCTATTTTTTCATTTTCATTTTTCTTTCTAAATACAAAGATACAAAAAAATTATTAGTATAAAAAAAAAAAACCAAAGAAACGGGAAAATAAGCAATGAAGAGCTCCATACCCCTTTTTTGAGAGAATGGACAAAGATTTTGCCATCTACGGATAATGCGAAACGAATACCGAGAGGTTTATCGAGAGTGACCATGTACTCGTTGAGATTCATCTTGAACGAAGAACACGAATCGCTCGACACGGCGTAAACCCTAAGTAGTACTCCTCCTCCACAGAAACGAACCTTCTGCTTAGGCCGGAGAGTAGAGATAACTATTCCGTTGGAGAGACTGGAGCATCTACTCCAAAACGAAGACGAAGCGGCGCCAAAAACGAGGGGTGTTGATGAGATATCAGACGCTCTGCAACCTGAGAGTTGCAGAGAAGACATTTTCGTTTAACCAAGTAATTTCTCAGATTAGTATTTTGAGAGAGAGCAAGTCAGGAGGAGCAGAGCTCATTAGCTTCCAGTAACGTGGAGATTAGAGATTTATCCTCACATATATGAAAAAATCTACTGTGTACAGTTTAGCTGGTGGCTCTTGAAATGGGATTGAAAGGACAAAAAGCTAGAGAGGCGGAGGGAGCGGTGAGAATCCGGTGGTCCACGCGGCTTCATGTGGGACCCGCTTGTATGAAGCCGTTAGCAACTTTTTTGCTTTAACAGTGACACGTTGGAAATTTTGATCCAGGTTTGCCGGGGCCCGTTTCTGTTCAAGTCCACACAGCGTTACCTTCTGTGACGTGGCATGACATCGTTGGTTGAAAGCTATACAAGTGATAAACGGTGAAATGGGGGGATTTGTCCCACGAGATTTTAGTTAAACAATGAGAATTTCCTGCGCCGACGGAAAATGCATGCGATTTAGGAGTCGACAACATAATATTGTGATTCGTGGAGGGTCCGGAAATATACTGGGGATTTGAATAACACGAATAAGATTATGACACGTGGAAAAGTACGTCAGCTAGCTCATGCTCTTGTAAATTAAGCCCATAAAATATGGAAGTAATAGAAGGGCCTGCACATGGACCATGCTGTGTGTCACGAAGAGAATTGTCACATTTATTTGTCCGACATATTTAACTGAATTTTTATTTTTCCCTACAAAATTCAAATTTAGTTAAGTACTAAAAATTAAAAATGTTTTTAACGTAAAAATAACTTTATTTTATTTGTTATTAACAGAAAATTAAAAACTGGCAACAGAAACTTCAATATATAACCTGGTAAATAATATTTTTAACATGAATATATTTATTACATTTTTATTTTATTGATCGTAGTCGTTGTATGGTTTTCAAAACTACCAATTTTTCAGACCACTGAATAAGTGATTTTGTGTGGTTTGGATTATTTTTATTCTATTTATACCCTTACACTTTTTTGTTATTTATATTTATACTCTCATCTTATTTAATTATATTTAATCATATTTAATTATATATATACATATATATATGTATAATATATTTAATTTTATATGTACATGTATATAATATATTTAATATTATATTTATGTACATTTTAATTATATATACATATATATTTAATATATATACACATATATCTGTATATTTAATTATATATATATATATACATATATTTATTTAATTATATATATTCTATGTTTTTTATTTTTTTATTTATTATTACATACAATAAGTTATTGGTGAAATAGTTAATTTGATCAAATATACAACTACATCATCCTATCAATCCAAATAAAAACAATTATCATTACCATATATTAATACATAATCTTTCCAAACATAGTATAATTTTACCATTACCATACTTTGTCATTACCTTACAATACATTAACGAACTATCTTAAAAGTCATTCAAACACACCTTTAGGGGTTGAGCTTAAGGCCACTTTTTTTTCCAAACTGGTAGCGTTTTAAGGAAAGTAATTAAAACCATGCCCAAAATGCTACCATTTTGGGATAGGCATTTTAAGGACTCTCCCTTTCTCTTCTAGACATAATGAATGAGATAACAAACTTTCGGTTCTCCTCCTTTTTCTTTTTTTGAGAAACTGAGGGCAAGTAACAGTAGGCAGGGCCAGGGCATGGTGAAACTCCCTCCAGCTCTTGTGAAGCTTTCATATTCAAGAAAACTCTCTCCAGTTCTTATGAAAATTATATTATAAAAACACATGGCGGCTCTGACTACTGAAAGATTAAATAACTTTAAAAATGCTAAATATGAAATCATGATGTTTCACAAGGATGAAGATTACAATAACGAAGAGTTGCAAAACATGTGGGAAAGCTTTAGAAGAGATGAAAAAAACTTTATTTATGAATGAACTTGGGTCATTACCATTATCGTTATATGTTAAATTGTATTGGAAAGTGACTAAAACCATTGTTAAATTTTGGGTGCCTTTTCCTGTTTTGTATTTGGAATAATTGACGTCATACTTCGATTGAAAAATACTATAAAATACTTCTGAATCCCATAAGTTGACAAGAAAAATTTTATGTGCCAAATTATGGTGCTAATATACGAGAAGTCTTGGACAAAATAGTAAAATAATTTGGGAAAGACCAAAAATTGGACATTAAATACAAGTAGGAGCATTAAGTGGGAGTACTAAAAGAATACCAAAGAATATCTTATGCATCAGAATAATAAAAAATAAAAAACAGCAGTCGTACTTGGGATATTTGGACTATTAATGTTTTCGTAGAGTAAAGGATTTATAGACGAATGGATAATAAGAACGATGAAGCCTTACAAACAAAAAATATTATAGTTTGGACTTACACTTTGATCTTCTATTTATGACTACACAAAAACTTAAAACCTTCTAAATACTTTCAGATGATCAAGGACGTGAGGATAACAAGTTCCGTAGATATACATACCAATTGTCCAATAATTTTAAAGCCTTAATCCTACAAATTTAGAAAGCGAAGCAGCTAAAAGAGAAAATAATAGCTAGATGTCACATAGCTCTGGAGAAACAAGAAAAGGAATTGAGCAATGCTAGAATTTATATTAATAGTATGAAAAATCAATGCAAAAAGACTATCGTTGCAATAAAACAAAAATAGATACTAAGACATCAATCAAAAGAGATAGAAGTAGATAACAGGAAGTTGCAAAAAGAAATATTACAATATTCAAAAAATAGAAGATGGCTCATTTAGAAGAGGAAAATATAGAAGTAAACATGACGATTTCCAAGTTACTAGTAGAAAACCTTCTAGTAAAGTCGCTCTTCAAGAAAAATATTAAAGATGAAACTTAGTCAAAAGGAATAAAGAGTGAAGGACATTTTCAAAAAAAAAAAATTCAAATACTTTATAATCCTTCGACATTAATGAAATATTATTTTCTTTAGCAAAGTCACCATGGACCAATGAACATGTAATCATTAAAATAAAAGATCATTTTTCCCCTTAATCCACCATAGTTAAATTTTCTACTAATGCAAATTTTTTTTCATCTTTTTTCCCTCTCTTTCAAAAAAGAAACAAGATAGATTGTTGGGGAGGAAGGTCACTTTCATTTGAGTTCCATACCTAACTTGTTTCAGAGCATGTAAAATAGAGACTAATGAAGGTAGCAATGAGAGGGGTGAGTCGGTTGATCAAAGGTTGCTTGTAACTAACTAGAGGATTAATTGTATTAAAAGTATATTATGGCTTACGTTGATGAGACTCTCTACTCCAGCACCAAATTTAGTATAAGTTCTAGTAGTCTTGCCAATAGTGCCACCTGTGTAAGTAATATCTGAGCAAGGACCCTTATTAATCAAGTTATTAAAGTTGCAATCTAACCTATTGTTCAACTAACTAGACCCCAGTTGTTATCAGTACTCTTGAGTATATCACTGATGGGGTTAAAAATATTGAGGAAGAAACACTAAAAGTAATGAAATGAATATAGTACTTGGAAAAGAATATCAGACTCCTACAAGAAACAGAAGTAGGATGATTGAAAAAAATTTCACCTTATTATTGGCAGTAAAGGATAACATTCTAAAAAAGTTCAAGATGCATGAATTCCTCAAATATGATGAGACAAGTTGTTCAATGGCTCATTTCAAGAATTATACAATCAAGATAAATCGTACATATATTTGACTTGAAACTAATGATTCACTGCTTCCAAGAAAGTCTAACTGAGATTATAAAAAGGTTGTTATATACCTTAGACACAACCTAAACAAAGGTTTAGGAGGATCTAATGATTTTTTTCTTTTGAAAGTAATATCGATACCATATAGAATTTTCTCTTACAAAAGAAATAATTACAAAATATTGAAAAGAAGAGTTCAAAAAACTTTTAGGAATATACAACCCGATGGAGGAATCTAGTGTCATAAATAGAGCCCCTTCAATTGAAAAGAAAATAAATAAGGCTCCCATAAGAACTTTAAATGGAGTTTATGCAAATAAATTGTTGGAGCACCTCAACTTTAGCTTCACATATACTATCCACATTAGAGATGAAGACATTATAGATGGAGGAAGATTAACTTATAACAACGTTCTTTACAATTTACTCAACAAACTAGCTTAAAGAAAATTAATTACATTACGAGAAAGGGAAGTTTATGGCTGTTCATCGCTAATTGTATATCAAATAATGGAAAACTAAATATCCCAAATCATTTTCATGTCATCGATACTTGAAATAACTTATTCAAAAATTTTAGGTTCATCTCCTTCTCATACATGCCTAAGTCGAAGAATTGCCATATTACTTGATGACTCTATCTAATCATTCAAAATAGAGACGCAAAAAGATTCATCCTATTACGTGGAAGTTAATAAGGAAGTCAATATGAAGCATTAGTACTACAATATCAAATAATACACTTATAATAGATAATACATGTCTAATGTCTCAAAAAATTTCAAAAATACTATTATAAGGCTCTCAATAGGTTACTATTTATATGGAGAAATCTTTTCTACAAGCATGCAAACGTGGCGTTGTTATAGTATGTAGACAATAAAGAAAATAAACAAATCATTAAAGAAGTTTACAAAGAATTTTGCGGGACCCATGATTTTGTTATGGTATGTTGATGATAAAGAAGCCAAACAAATCATTAAAGAAGTTCACGAAGGAGTTTGTGGGATCCATACCCAAGGGCATATGCTTGCGAAAACGAGTTTTAAGACAAGAAAGAGTTTGTGGGATACTGTGCCACGATTGAGGTAAAAATTGCAATACTCCATTGATCACTTAAAACAGATTTTCTATATCCATCTAGATGGTATATTTTGAATGAAAATAAAAAATAACATGGTTTTAAATGAACTTAGGCATGTGTGTGTGTGTGTGTGTGTTCATGAGTTTTGGGTTAATTAAAAAAGAGTATGTTGTTATCTCTGTTTATTTACTGTAAGTTATATATATATACTGTTTATTTATTTGCTTATAAAAATTATTATTATTAAAGGATTAAAATAGAAATGGAATGCATGAAATGTAAAAAGAAAATGGTAGAGGGATTGTGATGACACGGTGAGGGACAAGTACATTATAGAAATAACATGAGAAAGAGAAAATCAG